GGGTTCCCATTAGAATCCTTTTATCTCCCGGCTTGGAGGCTCAGCGCCAGCCGCTCCAACCGCGACAGAGAGTTTCACAGTCGGCAGGCTTCTACGACGAGGCACTTTTGACAAGCTCTCTGACGTGCAGGATGAGGGCTCCCTTTTGAAGATCAAGGTCACTGGTTTGCCACATAATATAAACATATATAAACCTTCTGTAAGCCTATCAATCCTTTTGAGAGTTCTTCCAGCTACCCCCCGGCTGCCCTGTTTTCCTCCTTGTGCCCTATGGTTTTCTGAGCTACACGTCAGGTTCCCGGGACCTCCGACAAGGATCCAGCTTTGGCGGCATTGTCCCAGAGCCCTGGAGCCTCCAGGGGGGGAGCTTCGGCAGCTCGATGCCTCTAGGCCTGGCTTGGGTCAGATGACCTAAAAAACTTCTTTTTTTGGGTTCTACATATGGGAATGCTGGTGTAGTTAGTTCACACATGGACAGACATGTTTCATGATGCTGTCCCATCTGAATGGTGTAGTGCAATGGTACTTTTGTCATCCCATTTTGTTAGTGTTAGCACCTGAATCTATCACTAGTAGATACACACCCCCTTTGTGATTCTTCTATGCTACCGCCAGTTGTTACAAAGAAGCATGATTCACTTTGACACGGATTCAATGTTGAAAGCCACAGCATGACACACAGCAACCCACCCACGAAGAACGATCTGAGGACCTCCACTTCTAACTCCAATTATAGTATAATAAACCCTAAACCCTTAAACCCTAAACCCTTAAACCCTAAACCCTTAAACCCTAGGCATATTAACTCTGAACTTGCTTTCTTTGGCTGGATGTTGGCTTTCAGGCCTAGCGCCACAAGAGCGCCGAGTGTCAGGAGGCAAGGGGGGACGAGGGTGGTGCAGGATTGGGTGTTGTTCCGGGATCCCTCAACTAAGGATGCAAGAAAGGAGGACTGCATTCGTTAGAAAAGACCGGACACATTGCTCCCTGGCCATCTTACCAGCAAAGAGCATGCCGGACCTCCTTGAACTAGTAGTAATCATCACAGTAATACTAATAATATGAATACTAATACTATTACTATTAATCATACAAATGATGGCAATAATAGTACTAGTAATGCAGAAGAGGTGGCTGTGGGGCCTGCGTTTTTTGATTTAGGTATTTTCTAGGTTTTGTAAGGTTTCCATATAATTATGATATGTATTTCCTTAGTCAGAGGCTGAATTTACGCAGGCCCCATAGTAAATCCTAGGATTATGTACATAGGTTTCTAAGTAGGGCTTTCATGTAACTACGGTATGTAATTGCTTATGCATATGCTGGCTCCATAGCAAATCCT